CAAAGCCATAAAATACAACAGTCGGCCCATCAGCAACACGGAAAACGTTAATTGTAGCGTTCAATGCAACCAAACTTGAGAAAAAAGAAAACAAGGAGATAAAGAGAAGAAAATAGAGAATAAAGTAGAAACACACACAAAAAGAAGAAACAACGGAGACAAGGGAAAAACCAAAAACACATAAAAAACACTAGACAAGGTAACGAACAGAAACACAAAAGAGCCCAATAAAGCTGCACAAAAAAAAAGTTAAAACGAAAACAAAAACAAACAAATTAATAATACGCCCCGAGAAGCAAGCAAACATAAAAACACAACACTAATCTATTGTCAGGTTAGAGTAAAAATGCAATTATAAATGTATTTGTGAATCTGTTATTATTCTTTCCCTCCTTAAAAAGCAAAATACAAAAACAGTTCAGGTCAAAACACACAACGCCCAGCAAACAATATACAAACAAAAGAAAGAAACAGAAAGTTTCAATTAGCCCAATTTACCCAGTAAACATAGAGATACACACAAACTGTGTGTGTACGTCTATATATGTGTATGTATATACGCAATTATAAATATAAATTCATCTGTTATTATTATTTCTTTTTCTTTTTCCCACTGCAAAAAAACAGTTCATCATCATTATCATTACAGTGCAAGCCCAGGTGCACACACACACACACACAATAAAGTAGCAATAATAATTATTATAGGATAAACACAAAGAGAGCAAAAACACACAAAACACACATTAATATTAAGAAAAACAAAAAAAGAAGATATAATCCCAACAGGTGGAAGATTAGTTAGACTGTAGGGTTATATGCAAAAAAAGAAAAGAGAAAACAAAGGATGACCTGAGTCACACCACCACCATTACAATCAGCACACAAGAATACAGGCCAGTGTAACCACAATCAGTAGTGGTACACGCATCCACACAGAACTGCTGATACTGCTGCTGTCTGCATCACCCTTCTTGTTGTTTGTGAGTTCAGGAGGAAGTGTTGTTGTTGTTGTTGTTGTGGTTGTTGTTGTGGTGGTGTTTGAGGAGGTAGTGGTGGTTGTATCTGTATTTCCTCCCTCATTTGGGTTACTTGTTGGTCCAGTCTCTGCAGCTCCAGACTCTCCTGCATTCTGTGAGGGTGAAGTGTTGGAAGAATTCTCAGGTGAACTCTGAGGTGCATTACCAGATGTCTCTTTCCCTTCATTATCACTTGATCCTGTTGAGTCTGTGTTCTCTCGGCTTTGTGCATCTTTTGTGTCTTTACCCTCCTTCTTTTCTTCTGGCGATTGATTTTCTTGTTGAGGTCCATGCTCGCCTTCATTTAATGAAGGTTCAGGTAGTTTTTGGTTTTGTCCACTGGGTCTATCAGTTCCAACTGGACCTGTTACTGACTGTTGTGCAGAAAGAGATGGGGTTGCAACAGTGGAATCTCCTTGTTCTTTAACATTTGAGTTTTCAGCTGAACCGCTGATTTCTGCTCTTATGTTTTGGTCCGACATCTCTGTCCTTCGTGTCCCATCATCTCTCCCACCTTCAACTACTGCAAGTTTCCCTTGCATTTGTTCTTCCGACTGTGCCACCAGCTGCTTAGAACCAGACCTACGTCCCGATCCGCCAGAAGCAATGGATATATGTCCACCCAAAGAATCTGAATTACCAGGAGCCTCCTGACCCTTTTTCTCCTCCTCCTCCTCGAACTCCCCCCATTTTGTTTTTACTTCTTCTTCATCTCCACAGAAAGGAGAGAAAAAAAGCGCAGTGACGGCACGACGAACAAGAGAAGGAACACCAATAGTGGAAGGTTTAATAAAGGCATCAGAAGCTTTAGGACTATCAGCCCATACTAACCCACAGGCACAACAGACTGCAAGAGTTAATAAACACAGAAGGTAGCACCTCACCATTACAGCCTTTGCCATTGTTGTTGTATACTACAATAGACTAATACAAGGAAGAGAGAGGAACAGAAGGAAATAATTAAAATAGAAACAAACAAACAAACAAACATACACCAATACAACAAATACTCAGAGTGGGATAGAGAGAGAAGCACCAACTGCACAGTAAGCAAGAAAAAGGAATATACCGCATGTAATGACAATATGTATCCATTAATAGAAAAAGAAAACACCCCACAATACCCAAATAAGAGAGAGAGAGTCTCCAAAAACACACACAATACCCCATGGCTCTAGATTATGTAATAAATTACTGCACACACACATCTGTGTGTACTAGCAAGAGATGTATACCGTTAGTGAGCAGAACAGCCCAGTTTTCTGCAAACACACAACGGGAAAAGCAATTAATGGAATTATGAAAAAGAACACACACAAAAGTAAAAGTAAAAGAAAAGAAACTCGAATTAAAAGAGAAAGCTGGTAAACAGATTATTACTTTATTCACCAATGGGGGATGTACGCAAATATGATTACGTTAGTTTAACCATTATTATTATTTGCCCTCAAGTGAGTCCCACTGCTCAGTACACGGTAACGGAGAACAATACCACCACAATCAGTAGTGGTACACGTACCCACACAGAACCAATACTGCTGCTGTCTGCCTTACGCTTCTTGGGTGGTTTGGTCTCGCTCTTTGCAGGCGTAGGAGGTTGCAGTATTGTTGGCATTGCGGGTGATGTCACCTTAGTGGGTGTATTGGGAGTGTTCCTTGTTGGTGCACTCTGTGCAGGTGCTTCAATATTCTCTGCCTGATTATTATTCTCTTCATGATGTATGTTCGTAGAACCTGACTGCTGCTCATGATTCTGGGAATCAACTGTTGTAGGAGGAGGAAGAGAATCACGATTACGTGCAACAGTAGGAGCACCAACTGTAGAAAGATTAGCTTCACGTTGAGTGAGAAGATGTGATCTAGCAAAACGATCCTCCTTGTTGATACCATGAACACCATGTGTAGATGCTGTTCGACCATCTTTATGAATAGGAACAGCACCAGGAACACCAACAAGGCAGGAAACATCACTTGTATTACAAGGAGCCTTTGGATCATAGTTAGTTGTCGTTCGGAAAACAGGATCAGGGTAAGGCTTATGTGGTCCACCAGGAGCACCAGCATTCTTGGGAGTACCAGGACCACCATTCACAACACCGTACGTACCAGGAACATCAGGGTTAAGGGTAGCATTAGTATCCGGCTTGAGAGTTGTACCAGGAAAAGGGTGAGCAGCAATAACTTCAGCCGTTTGATCAACCTTCTCAACGCGACCATCTTCTTCAAGAGTGTCAGAAGTCCTTCTAGGCGTACCTTTTGTAGTCAAACTAGGTAACTTAGGAGAAGAAGTTTCATTATGATCAGGGACACAAGGAGGAGTGTTAACACCTGAACCAGCCTTAGTACCATCCGCAAGACAACGTGAACGATTAACGGGAGCAACATTGCCAGCGTGGGATCCTTCATTATCAAGAGGGGCAACAAAACCAGGGCTACCGGGCACAGCAGCATGTTGAGGAGGTTGTTGATTGTCAGACTGATTCGCGAGCACACATCCATAGGCGCAGCAAAGCATGAGAACCATTAAACACATCGTGCGATGCATCATTTCCCCCATAGCCATAATAGTGATTGTGGGTTTCGCTTAAAAACAATGGACTAGACAATAGAAAAAAATATAGAGGGAGCAAAATAATGTAATCCAAACACAGTAACACAAAGAATCACAACAAAGTAAAAACAAAAACTAAACCAGTTATAGAAAACAAAACAGAAAAGCAAACCCCATCAAGAAGAAAAAAAAGGGGAACCATATTCACACAACTACCACAAAAAACACACCACTCAAGGAATCCAACTGCAAAAAAAAAAAACGAATTATAGGTTTTCCGAGTACACGAACAAAGAACAACTCATTCTAAACGGTCCAAAAGCAATTACGAGTATTTATGTTTCGTTGATTACTTTCTTTTAATTTCATTGTTCAAAGCAAAGCAATCACCAGGATGCAAAAGAAAACTCACACAATAGCCCAACACACACAATGGAGTAGCAATAATAATTATAATAGGATAAACATAGAGAGCAAAAACACACACAAAACACATTAACATTAAGAAACAAAAAAAGAAGAAAATCCCAACAGGTGGAAGATTAGTTAGATTGTAGGGATGCATGCAAAAAAAAGAAAAGAAAACAAAGGATGACCTGAGTCACACCACCACTACAATCAGCACACAAGAATACAGGCCAGTGTAACCACAATCAGTAGTGGTACACGCACCCACAAAGAACTGCTGATACTGCTGCTGCTGTCTGCATCACCCTTCTTGTTGTTTGTGAGTTCAGGAGGAAGTGTGGTTGTTGTTGTTGTTGTTGTGGTGGTAGTGGTAGTGGTGGTTGTCTCCGTATCGCCTCTTTCATTTTGGTTGTTTGTTGATTCACTCTCTCCAAATGAAGTGGCGTTGTTAGGTGTTTCAGCATCAGAACCAACATCACTCCCTGTGGGTGAACTGCTTGGAGAAGAAGTAGAAGCTTCTGTTGATTCACTTCCTTGTCTAGCAGTAGTTTCACCTTTTGCAATGTTGTCGCCGTCTACAGGTCGACTGATACCTGCAGCCTCAGCCTCACTCTCCCTTGCAGTTGGTTCAGCAGTTTCAGGACCAGCCCCTGTTGGAGAACCAGTTCCAGCGTCAGATAAACCGTTCGAACCAGCCTCACCCAATGGACCAGGAGCACCAGAACCACCACGACCTTCAAGACCATCATCACCACGAGAACCAGCGGGACCAAGAAGACTGTGAGCAGTTCCATGACGAAGAGTTTCAGAGTCGGCTCGAGAATCAGATGGAAGAGAGGTATCATGGTCCACACGTTTTTTAGGAACTTCCGGTACTTTAGCAGGAGGAACTTCAGGTTTTTTAGGAGGAACAACAGGTGTTTTTTTCTCAGGAACAACTTCTTTTGGAGCCTCAGGTACAGTAACAGGAGGAACTTCTTCCTTTTTCACACATTTACCTTCTTCAGAAGGTACAGTATCTTCAGTGCACTGAGATTGAGCAACAGGAGTACCTTGAAGAAGAATCTTTGTCTCACTCTCCGTATCAGGGACTTGGTCGGAAAGATCGGCGGCAGGCACTTCTTCAGCGAGGACGTGCACACACGCACATGAGAGCAGGAGAGCGAGGACACACAGCACGTAGCGCATCATTACCATTGCAAAACTTCTTGCAGTAGTCTTACTTCAATCGCTTACAGAAAAAGCACAGAAAGAAAAAACCAGAAACAAAGTGAATCAATGGAAACAAGAAAATAAAAACACACAACAAATCAATCAACACTCAATAATTACAGCAGAAACACACACATGCAAAAAAAGGTGCAACCATGACTCATATAATGCCAAAATTAAAGTAAAAACGCATACAATACCCAATAACAAACAGATAATC